CTTATCCTCAAATGTGTTCTGAGATCTTGACAAGTAAGATATCTTTTCCATTTCCGGTATTATTGCTATGTTTTGTAATTCTTCGTTTGTCTGAGTCTGTTGATTCCTTCCTTTAGGTCCTCCATCTTTGGATCTGTTTCCTCTAATTTTCCTTCTATTTTCTGTGTTACTAGTTCCTTCTTTGTAGTCATTTTCTGAATTTGTAGGTTTAGTTTAGAAAATTGTTCTTTTATCTCCTTTGCGTTATTTTTAGTCTCATCATGAGCTAAGGCAATTGTCTCTTGTATTGATTTCAACATAGAAATAATTTCTTTTTGAGATTCATTAACATTTTCTTGTTGGTATATCAAGCTGGGGACTTTAAAGGCAAGTGTTAGAGATGGAAAAAATGGTAAATTCCGATTAATACCTTGTAGGTAAAACAAAAACATACACCAGAAATATCAGGTTAGATAAATCCCTAAATTTTTCAAAGTCAGTTAACAGTAAACTTGAGGTTTAATAGGTCGGTCGGATAGTCAGACAGGAATTCGGAGGGCATTTGTTCATATTCGTTTTAAGTTCAAAAAGACAGGTTACTTTAACATATCCTTTCTGTCCAGAGAGAAAAAAGGAATTAAAAGTTGTTCATCAATCAAAGGTTTATAATCCAAAGTATTTCATCATCTCAATCACTAATGCATGTTTCTTCTACAGGGAAATAGCTCCATGACACAGCTCTAAAAGTCAGTTTCAAACTAGTTTATCGTCTCTGCTACATAGATAAGCAGCCCAAGAGGGCTTTTTCCCCCCTTTTCCCAACTGCAGTCTTCAAAAGTGAAAGTTTCCAAGGATAACAAAAGTCTTATCTGAGTCTGGGCTTCAAGCCAAGTTTCTTTTAAGCATAATAGATTGTAGTGCTGTGGTTCACCACTAGATGTCGTTGACACCGTCTTCCAGTTTTTTAAATCCAAACTTATATTGCAAGCTTTTCAAAAAAGTCTCAAAAGCACTTTTAGTCCCCAAATTTCAAAGCTATATATCTGTATTGATTCCAAATTAATCTTGTAATTTTCTCTGTTTTCCCCCAAGCAATTAGTTTGCTGCTTTTCTTTTCCTGAGAGGAAAAGGCAGAAATTCCACTTCCCTCTCTCATTGGGGAGGATTCTTCGCTTTGGACGATTTTTTCCAGGAAAAAGTCTTAAAGTCATGAAGAGAGGATAAAGTCTCACCCAGTTCCATCCACATTGTTCAAAAGTTGCTTGTTAGTACTTACTTTCTTCGGTTGTCAGCAGCTTCTGACTGGCCATATGAATGTGGCCAGTCTTTCCCCCGCCAGTTTGGAGGGTTTCTTTAGATCAAACGGAAGGGCCACCACCCCTCCACAATCAATGAGGGTCCCCTCCTTCGTTGCTTCTCTGGGGTGACTTTTGACCCTTTTTAGGGTCCCCAGTAGGGCGAAATTGAACGTGGAAGACGGAGCCCCATTTTTCTGCGTCCTTCACGCTGCGACACCGAACCAGAAGCTTGAATTAGAATATAGTTTGATGATGAGTGTATGAGGGTGTGTGAATGGCTAGTGCAGCACAGATGCAGGGGGTTGGATAAGGTGTGCAGGTAGGCAGATTTACCCCAGCAACATGACTTTCCCTGACAGCTTCCCCATTGATTTTCTGGGGAAGGTTGCAAATGGCAGTGACATGATAGTGCAGTGCTTGGCAACCAGTTATAAGTACAAATGGGTTGTCAAATGTCCAGATCGTGATCCCGTGGGGATGCTAAATGACTATAAATGGGAACTGGTGATATCTCCCTTTGTTCAATACCATAGTAACTTCAAAAAGCTGCTGAACGAATTGTCATAAATCAATAACAACCTGTATCCTGGAATGAGGCAATGGCAAACCATTTCAATATTTCTAAGAAAGCTACATGGACATCTCTATGAAATCACCAACAGCTGAGCTTGATTTGAAGGAGATTCAAAATCTTTTAAAGAAATCAAAATGTGAAGCTTTGTAGGATTTTGTGCCATGATGGATATATACATGAAACATTTCAACGATAGCAAATAAGTGACAAATAACTTATGCCCAATTTATTTCTCCAGCAGGTAGTGGTAATGAACAACCAGAAAAGAAAGCAAGGATAGAACTCTCTGAAGAGGAGCTGAGGAGTCATGTTGATAGAGGCACTTTGGGTAAACTTACTGTGCCAGTTCTAAAGGATATATGCAGAGTTTATAAGCTAACAGGTGGTGGAAAGAAGCAAGAACTTTTAGATGTGATAACTGCACATTTCAATAAGCACTGAGTTTACACTCCCAACTGCTTCAAACATTTTAATGTTGAAAATCTCCTAAATGTTGAGATTTTGACAAGAAAAATTGGGAATATGTTTTCATAGGCATTTGATAAAAGGGAGTGGAAATCAGGGTTTTCTCTTTGTGAAATTTATACACTTCTGGTTCTAGATTTGATTGTGCAACTTTCATCTTGTCTTTAATAAATGAGCTTGGTTTGGCTGTCAGCTTTTTTGTTCCCACTATTTCACATATAACATAATGCACAAAGTATTATTTAGGAAAAATAGCTTATTTTTGGAAGGATAGTACTATATAAATTTGATTTTTATGCTTGCCTTAAATATATAGCAAACCTGCCCTGCCTCCCCCCCCCAACTATGTTACTTCTTCCAAGCATGATAGAAACAACTTATCCATTCAGGTTTTATAGTGGTTTTTTTCTCTTCAGGAGGCACCCTGTACTTTAAAAATTTTTTTTTAAAAAAAAGCTGATTGCAATTTGCCTACTAATCTGTGATAGTGACCCAAAGGGGATCCACAATGACCCACAGGCCAGCATTCATTACTAGGCTGGTGTCCTCTCTTGTGAATTAGAACATTCTTAGCTGCTATCTTCCTCCCATTTGATGGAACAGCTTATTGGCAGTTGGATGAATTGCAGCATAATGTGGGAAAGTTGGTTTTTTGGGGGGAAGAGAGAAACCTTGCTACCATATATTTTAGGACACAGCTTATTCAGTTGCCAGTTAAGTTGTTCATTAAACTGATTGAAAAAGTGCTATCCATGTGAAGAAAAGTTGGAATCTTGCAGAAAAGCATGGTTTTAAAGGCACTTTTTTTTTTTTTTTTACCAAACCATGTTCTTTTATGGCTAGCCTATTTCAACTGAGTGATTGAAGTTTACTAAATTTACTTCCAGTGTAGCTGGGGTAATCTGATATAAATTGTGAAGAAAAAAGTTTTCTGCATCTTTGTTATCATTTAGCGTCACTAGGATTTTTGCAGCCCAAGCCTGGTAACTTAAGTATGGTGGCACAAGCAGGAATTAGATAATCTGTGGTAGTCAGCTGAGTTTGCTTTACTGTGGCTTGGCAGCAATGCTGACATATGGCTGAACCTAGCTAGAGATTAAAATATTGGAAAGCTCTGACTCATATCTGTGTTCAATAATGAAAACTCACTAGCTAACTTTTGACTTTGGATCACTCATACTTTTTCAGTCCATTACCTCAATTATTACTGTGGGGTAAATTATTAAGGGAAAAGGGATTCCTATACATGTCATCTTTAGCTTCTGGAATAAATTTGCAAGACACATCTTACAAATTAGTTATAAAAATAAAATATAGAAAAAACTATTAACAGCGCCCAGTCAATCTATTGAGTATGACAGGCATTCTTGCATAGTTGAGCACATTTAACACATGCAATCTACATATTACTAAAACTTCTATGTACGTTGGTAATCTTCATTTGGGCAAAACGGTACATCAGAAAGCTACAACTTTGGAATCAACATACTTCAAAAGGGTTAACTTACAGAATATACCCAAATCTGGTATCTATGATTCCTGTAGGAATGAAATTTGGTAAAGCTATAGGTCCGTGGTTGCGAACCTATGGCACGCGTGCCACAGGTGGCACGCAGAGCCTTCTCTGTGGGCATGCGCGCCGTCACCCCAGTACTAGGCCTTTAGCTGTTTTATAAAACCTTTTTGCTTTAGGCCTCCGCCGTGTGCAAAAAAAAAAAAGTCCAATCAATCAAAAGATCTCGCAGTTGGAACTGATTGAACTTTTTAGTCCCACCCAGTGTGCCGTTACCACTGCAGTCACCCCCATCCAATTGGCCACACCCACCCAATTGGCCACACCCACCCAGCATCCGATGAAACATAAGTGGGTTTTGGGTTGCAGTTTGGGCACTCGGTCTCTAAAAGGTTCGCCATCACTGCTATAGGTGCTTCAATGCTGCTGCACTGCTGCAGACAAATCGTAGTTTTCAAAAGGCAATAAGAAAGCTGGCAATCAAGCTTACAAGCTTATTGGGGGAGGGAGGGAGGGTTTTCCCCCCCTCCAATGCTCCCTTGTCAGCTTTCCACAAGGAAACTCATTAGTGAAGCTGACAAAAAATAAGTCACTCTGGTCCCACCAATTTTTTTGCTGTCCATGGTTATTCTGTTTCTTCATTTAGGTAGGGAAATATCTGTGAAATGATGACCCAAAACTGGTTAATGGTTGTCTTGTTCCTTTGTATAATCGCATTTATGCATCTGAAAACTGAAAACTTTATATCATACTAAATGTCTTTGTTGTGTTCTTTCCTATCTGGAAAAAGACGATGCTTTAAAGTTTTGTTAATAAAATAGTGCCAACAGCTTGCTGTTATCTCATCCTTGTGCAACTGCAGTAGTAGGTTAGAGGCCAGCATCCCAACACATTTAACTTTCTAGAAAGCAGCATTGATTAGGTAAAATTTGGAAGAGTATGCCTATCCAAATCAGTGCTTTATCTGTTTCAGAGAAGACACTGGGTATGTTACTTATTGTAATTTGTTTCTGGAAAAAAAGTCTGTGGCTATAGCAACAAAAAGCAAATGAAAAAAATATTTAATATATTGGTGTTCTATCAAACTATATCAGATTAGGGAGGAGATTTCTTTTTAGGGTAGCTCCATAAGCCAAATAACCTTCAACAGGACATTTGTTATTGAATAGAATAATATATACTTTGTTTTATTTAAACCCTAACATATACACAAAGTCATCTTCAAATGAAGCTAGTTATTATCAAAGAATTAGTTTAAATCCCACCGAAGATTTGTTTTGCATCAGACAGATTTAAAGCAAGGATACACAACACTCAAGTAGAGGTGAACAATATGAAGTCCCTATTTGGGTCCCGAGCATTCTGAAGTCATGTCACTGAAATTCACTGGTAAACTTGCTGAATTCTGATAGAGCAAGTTCAGCCCATTTCCTGAACATTCGGTGGTTTTAGGATAGAAATTCAGGCAGATTCTCTGGGAAGCCTCCAATTCCCACCCTCAAAATCCATAAAAAAGGAAGTTGAAAACATTTGACCATGCTGCAGGTTTTCCAGGTAGTCCCCATCCTTAAAGTCAGCAAGCTGCTCACCAACTTTAGCAATTTGGGATTAGAACTTTTTTTCTAACTCAAACTTTCACAAATCTTTACCTCTTGTCATTACTGCCTAGTAACTGCAATTATTGTCCTAAATATTATGAGCATGTATTTGTCTCTTGACTTAATAAAGAACACAATCTCTAATTATGGTCCTAAGCAGTAACCTATGACTGAAGAAAGTAATCCACTAGATTTAAAAACCTAATAAACATTTATTAATCATTTATATGGCCATCCATCTTATAAGAACATGACTTACATTGTAAAGCAATAGCTGTTAAACAAAATATGCATATACAGTCTTGGTTTTTTGAGTTACTTGTCAGATTTAGACCAATAGTCTTTCAATAGATTGTTGGACAGAATTAATTTGAGGCTTGAGTTGTGAGCCTTCTTTGATAGTAATGGAACAGGCAATAACAGGCCGAGAAACACCACATGCCCGTCCTAAGGCTTGCTTGGAACGCACAAACACATAGGGCACATTCTTGTCTTCACAAAGTAGTGGGAGATGAAGGATAATTTCAAGAGGTTCAGCATCTGCAGCCATCACAATGAATTCTGCAATTCCTCTATTCAAAGTTTTAGTGGCTGTGGAAAGGGAAATCAATATAATTACTATCAGGCACTCATGCAATAGTATTCTATAGTTCATTGTGCTCTTTTGCTTCAAGATTTCCGTTCATCTTAATCAAATATACTTTCAACTATCTTTTCACATTGTGGGATTTGTCTAGTGCAGTGGTGGCGAACCTATGGCACGGGTGCCAGAGGCGGCACTCAGAGGCCTCTCTGTGGGCACACGTGCCGTTGCCCCAGTCCTAGGCCTTCAGCTGGGTTTTATAAAACCTTTTCACTTTAGGCCTCCGCCACCGTGTGCAAAGAAAAAAAAAGGTTCAATCAGTCAATGTCAACTTCTCACGGGGGAAAAAAAAGATCTTGCAAAGTTGGAATTGATTGATTGAACTTTTTAGTCCCACCCAGTCTGCCCACGCCCACCCAATGGGCCACACCCACCCAATGGGCCACACCCACCCGGCACTCGATGATGCATAAGTGGGTTTTGGGTTGCAGTTTGGGCACTTGGTCTCTAAAAGGTTCGCCATCACTGGTCTAGTGGTTATATTACTGAAGAAATAGCTTAATGCTTGCAAATCAATGAATTGAATATCTGTCTGCATCTGTCTGAGGGCTTCAATGTATGAGTACAAGTTCTCACCTAAACACATGGCAAGTTAAATGCCTTTGGGGAACTGACCTACCTTAGAAAGGGCATAATACAAACCAGTATATTATGCAGCATTCCAAATATTTCCCATGTGGAGACTTTAACAATGAAAGCAAACACCGATATTGTGAAAGCTCTTTCAAGTTTTATTTTATTTTTATTCATTTTATTTTTATTTATTTTCAGTGCTTTCTGATGCCAATTATTTGTGTTCAGCACATTTGAGGAAATACCAGTAATAGGCTACCACTAAGGAGCAGTATCAATATGTTTAAGGATATATTTAATTAAGGATCAGGACTGACTTCCTGTAACCATCATCTCGACCATCTGGTAATAACTGGTAGAGCTGTTCCTCTTTATTTGCTTTCTACTTACTAAGCGCAATACATTATCTAATCCATCATTTGTCAACTTTTATTTGGTTTAGCTGTTAAATTCTTGTAGTTTGCTGAGTTCTTATGACTATCTTCAAACATACTGAATTCTGAATTAAGTAATGTATTATTTTAAATGTTTTTGATTACTTTGGGCAAAGTATTTAAAAGGAGACAACCCCCCCTCCAAATATCCATATAATAACATTTTGATAAAAATGTTAAAGGCACATTTTTAAAGGCAGATTTCACCTTCGTTGGCTCCTTTGCGTAACTGTTTGTAGTTACAAGACTGCTGTACAAGATCCAGTAGTGTCTTGGTGAGTTGAGCATCAGCAAGAGGATAAGCTTTTGGATTTACTTCTGCCTCAGTCTGTAGAAAAATATCAGAATTTGAGCTACAGAAAACAGCATTTCTTCCTCAACTGGCTATCTAACCATTTTAAGGAATATAACTGTATTTGTGCCAGGTGAATCTTCCATTATCAGAACTGTTGTATTTGCTAATTCGCTTCCATTAGCAATCTCCAAAAGTCATTTTGAAAAACTTTGTTTTTTCACTATAACATATTCAAGAGCAGGTAGAGACAATGGCAAGGATTTTCCCCTACTTTCTGTTGAAATTGCAGCCTTATCTGAAACAGGATATCCTGAAAATATTCACTCATACTTATCATCTCTAGATTTATTTTAGACTACTACTGGTATCACTCACTGAATACGGGATGCTCTTGAAGATCTCCCCAAACTTCAGCTTGTCAGAATGATATTGGTCAATGGTCAGTCATGAGTGTCATGTTACACCTTAGTACAGAAACTGCACTTATTACTAAATGTTTCCAAATGCAATACAAGGTAGCAGTTATGATCCACGAAGTCCTACATCTTTGGGCTTTAGGGATCACCTTTTCCCAGATTCTTCTGATTCTATCAGAATCACTAGGGAGGACCTAGTAAAAGTCCTTGCCCCCCTCAGGAGAGAGCCCAACAGCATTTTCCATCACACCTCACCTTGAGAAAGGGAAGACACCTTCCCTCCCCATCTTCACTTTCTGAAAGCAAGTGAAAACACAGCTGTTTCAGATCTTTAAGGATTAATTGTATCAGAGGCACTTTATTTAATGTTTAATATACTACTTTTAACAAAATAAATAAATAAAGCTTTAATTGGATTGCCATTTTAATATATTGACTTGCATTTATATTTAAGTTCTGCAAGCTCCCTAGAGTTTATTTCAAGCAGTAGACAAATCTGATAAATATGAATAAATACTACCAAAATGTACTAGTTCCCATTCTTGAGTACAGAGTTTGATCTAGCATCTACAGATAGACAAAAAAAAACAAAACACAACCCGGATGTTCTGGACTGAAAAAAGAATGAATTTGTATTTACACAGCCATGAAGGAAACGGATTTATCTGAATCCTGCTATAAATACTTGGGTATTTCCAGAGAAAGCTGTTAGGAGAACAAAGTCGGCTATCCTATTGTGCATTTCATATTCAATAGCACAACGATAAAAATAAAAAAAATCCATCGCAAAAGCACCGATACTTGTGGCATAAGATTTAATATTCCAACCTCAGCATAATAGTAAAAACAGATTGGGATTATTCCAATGAGCACGGTAGTTAAGAAGTAACAGAGGAAGGCGCCAGGTGCTGCATGCAAGGAGTCCTGCTTAGCACGTGATTTCACTGGTGCCTGTATGGAAACGTAGGCTGAGCGTGCCCCGCTAAGCGTCCTCCGCGTGGTCTCCTGGGCTCGCGCTCTCCTCCGCGCTGCCCAAGTGCTATCGGTTTCGGCATTTTCACCCCCAACTAGCGCCTTCGCTTTCCGCAACGTCTGGATTTGGCCCACTCACCATTTCTGCTAAGTAGAAGTTTCACCCGGAGATTCTGTTCTGGATCCCCTCGGCCCGAAAGCTTCACGGAGGAAAAATGTGAAATACGCGGATACATAAGATACACGCGCTCCTGGAAGTGACGTTGGAAAAGAGCGGCCGTCCGCAGGAAATAGGATGCTGATCTCAAAAGATTTCTCAGCTCCCGCAAGTGCGACCTCTACCTTTGACTGATTGTTACAGAAAACTCGCGTAGAGAAGCGGCTTCGACCTAAAAAATATTGATCGTGTTCAGATTCCCTAACGGTGACGTTGACTGAACCTAATGGGCCGTTTCCACGTTCACTCATTAGCAATTGTCATTTATACACAACTGTTAATTACATTTACAAGTACATGATTTGATTGATATAGCATCTAGTTTCAGCAACAATAAAAATATTATGTCGTGTTTTTTAATAGGTTAAAGATGATCCGCTTAGCAGTTATTCCCTGCTGGGGAAGGCTGGACTTAAAAAGTCTATGGAGATTCTCAGTCTCCATTAGAGAATTGAAATATCTTCAAAGAAAAACAAAGTCCAGCTGCCTCTTGAAAAACCACCTTTGAGACTGGACTTAAAAAGAAACTGGGTGAATGGGGGCTTGAACAGCGTTTCTGTAGCTTGAACTGAGAGATTAATCACTGTATCAAATGAATCAAAACACTGCTAACAAATAATTGTCCCTTCCGTGTCCAAATGTTATCTTGTATAGATATTAGAACAACTGTCTAGTGCTGAATGCTAGATATAAATCCATTTATATCAAAATTTTCTGTATGTGACAAACTGATATTGGACCACCTGGAAATTGAAGGGCCACATACTTGGAAATTATCAAAGCAATGAAACCTGGCATGAGATTTTAATTTATAGCGCACTTTTCTTCCCTCTACAAACAGTGCTCATTGTCTGAAACAAACAAGAATATTTGATAAAAATAATAGTCAAGTTATACAACTGCATATAACTTGTCATTAGAATGCAGCACAAGGCATTTAGAGATGCTTATTGAACAAGTGACACACAATGCATTTCTGAGTAAATATGCTTTAGAGTATGCTATATTAGGTAATCGTTTAGTATTTATTTAATGCATATATTGAACAATAAAAACATCAAACATATATTTCTTAAATGAAATCCTATATATTGGGTTAAAATGAAGCTTTTAATTACAGTCCTGTTGTGTCTTTGTACCAGAAGTACAAATATGCTCTGTTACCATTTTTTTCTGCTATGGTCCCCATGATGTTACCTTCATCTTGTCCTCAGCTCATTAGGGAGACATGCTTAAGTCATTAAAGTAGTATTTCCCTGCCTAGTCTAACCCAGGTCAAAAGCATCCTCAATGTGTATTTAGGCTTTATTATCTCTCATCTTGAAATCAGGTATGACTGTTGTGACTTGAAACAGAAGCAATAGAACAGTGTTTCTCAACCTTGACAATTTTAAGGCATGTGGACTTCAACTCCCAGAATTCCACAGCCAGCATTGCTGGCTGTGGAATTCTGGGAGTTGAAGTCCACATGCCTTAAAATTGTCAAGATTGAGAAACACTGCAATAGAAGGACTGGCAATATGACAGCAAATTTCATAATGCATGCTGCATTGTTTTACGGATTCAAGGATTGATGGATAATAGTATCATTTTGTACAGGGGGAAGACCCTTGACATCTAAGAAATCAACACAAACCAAATCAGACACCAGGCTAACCTACTAATGGAGAAACAGCCACCTTAATAAAGAGCTAGTGCTGAAAGCACGATTCCCCCCCCCGTCCGCGAGCCCTTCGGGCACTGTCATCGGGGTCGCCATAGCAACTGAGGGTGATTTTGCAACGCGCTTGCGTTAAGCTCTCCCGCCAAATTTGTACCATCTTGTCTTCAGTTGCCACTGTGTATGGAAGAGCACGTGAGGCGGCGAGATGGCAGGCTTCGCCTCAGAGCCTTTGGTCTGCGAGCGGTTCCACTCGCGGCACGACCTTCACTGGCTGCTGGAGTTTTTGCCTTCGCCGCTCTGCTTGGCCTGCGCCATTGAGACGCTGAAGGAGGACGGGGTCTCGGTATGTGCGCCAGCTTACTGGCTTTGAGACTGAATAACGTTCCCCATGTTCCTCTTCGTGTTCTCGCTCTTCATTGCCCCGCGTCAGTTCACAATTCTTCCTGTTCTAAGTTCAAAGAATCGGCTTCATAAAGAAGCAATGGGACGTGTGTGTGTGTGTGTGTGTGTGTGTGTTTGAATGGTCATTTTTTTAAGTCGGACTTGTGTTTTTTTTAGTTATGAAGTCCGTCAGAGAACAAATACATTGTCTTTGGAATAGCAACATTATAAACCAGTGTTTCTCAACCTTGACAATTTTAAGGCATGTGGACTTCAACTCCCAGAATTCCACAGCCAGCATTGCTGGCTGTGGAATTCTGGGAGTTGAAGTCCACCTGCCTTAAAATTGTCAAGGTTGAGAAACACTGTATATAAACTGTAAAAAGAAAATGCTTACATAAAATCAGCATTTGTAACTATTTACTTGCTCACTCTACTAACCCTTGGCTATAAAATGTTTCTTTTTAAATGGGATGAGAGAGAAAACATTGTAATAGTAACATAACCCTGACAGGTCCTGGCATATGGAAATTATTCTGCCTCCATGGGTTGTTGATTTCTGAGTTCTAGCTCAGGGAGAAATAGCAGGTAATGATAATATAGTTTTCTGTATGAGGAAATAAAAAAGGCCAAATTATTCTCAAATATACCCAGATACATTTTACAGCACCGTCCTAATCATGTTTACTTAAGTACTACTATTTTCCTTGGGATTTACTTCTTGCATTAAATGTGAAAATGTGTTATATTTTGCATTATATGTGATCCAGCTTTAGGTTTGTATGCTCTCTGTTCCTTAATAAACTTGCCTGAATCTGCTACTGTGTTTAATACAAATAGTAAACAAAGTTTAATGAATAATAAACAGTTAATAATAACTGTTTATAAATAATGTTATTAGAGCAATTAATATATTATAGAAGGTTGCAAAAGGTGATCATATGACCTCAGGACACTGCAATTGTCATAAATATAAGCCAGTTGCCAAGTGTCTGAATTTTGATAATGTGATCATGGGGATGCTGCTACAGTCATAAAAGTGAAAATGGTCAAAAGTCACTATTTTCAGTGACAGAAATACATACACACACATACACACACACATTCATGACATGAGGAAGGGGATTGTGTTATGTTCTTTTATATACTGGTTTATCAAACTGTACTACTGTAATTCTTGATTTAGTCTTTATTTCTTTTGAGTTTAATGTAAATTTAGTATTCAAGGAAATGGGTTCCTGATACACCCTTAGGTTAAGACTACTTGTTTTCAAATGTAACTTTATTTTTGCTTTTTATGACATTCATTGAGACTTTCCCCAGTTAAAATTATCATGGTACAAATTTGACTTGACAATATTTTTTTTCTGTCATGTCTCCATTTCTTTGCCTTCATTTTAGCCTTAGGCCTTGTGAGAGAAGTTTAGGACATCCTTTATCAAATGGCCATCTAAAGTATATAACATCTTTTCAGTTGAGATTACTAGATTATACGATTGATATGTGCAATGATGTGTTCCATATAAAATGGATAAGTAAGGCAGAAGATAGGGGAACAATTCTGAAGTTTTCACTTCTTTGATCCTTTCAAAGGAAATTAACAGTTTTGGGCTCAAAAAGTATGAATATAGGCTTACAGGAGAATTAAGGTGTTCTTATGTTTCCTCTTAACAATTTTTGTAATTTTCCCTTGCTAACATTTAGCTAATACGCAAGAAGCACGTGGTATCTTGTCTCCGAGATGTTCTGACTCAGCATGCAACAAAAGTTATCCCCCTGTTCGTTCAAAATGAAAGAATATGTGCTTATTTTATAGCAACTTTGTTTGGTAAGAGAACATCAAACACATTCAACATGTTCTTCTGCAAGAATATTTTAATTTTTTTCAGCACAATTTATTTTGTGAATCAGAGTGACTAAGATGAGTTTTTTGGCCAAAATAGACATATTAAATAGTTGATTTGATATTTGATAATTAGGTTTTTTTTCTTCTTCAATGAAAAATACCACAAGGAAAAGAATAAGAATAAAGGATGTGGCCTTTGAGGAGATTGTATTAATTAAGATCTGTGGTGGCACAGTGGTTAAAATGCAGTATTGTAAGCTAATTCTACATCTGCCAGAGTTCGATTTCCACAGGCTCAAGGTTGACTCAGCCTTCTGCCCTTCCCAGGTTGGTAAAATGAGGACCCAGACTGTTGGGGGCAATATGCTGACTCTGTAAACTGCTTAGAGAGGGCTGTAAAGCATTGTGAAGCGGTATATAAAATTAAGTGCTATTAATAATGTAGGGTTAATTTTTAGGAACATTATAAATATTTTAAATTTATGTTAAATCATTTGACTCCTTAGATGTATTTACTTTTAGTAATCCACAATCAATATATTTACTTCTGTTGTGGTATTATTCAATATTTTGAACATACGAAGTGTGTTTAACATTTGATTTAAAAAAGGATACCTCTCCCACATATTATAATTAGTAGGTTACAGTTGTATAAGAAACAATGCAAGATGTTTCCTGAATCTAGTGTTAAATCATATGTGAAAATCTTTAGCATGTTGTAAAAATGGTGAATTGGATCTAAGGATCCTCATACCTTCTATTCAAGAACATCCAAGCTAATAGGCCTCTAATTTCCTTTATTCTTCATTCTAAACATTATTATTAGGGTATTCAGCAAGATTTTGTTCTTTAGCAAATTATTGAAAAATATATAAATGTAGGAAAGAAAGCTAATTGTAAATGTGCTGATTCAGAGAAAGTGTAACATAAAGTGAATAGTCTTGATTTATGGAATGTGAAGCCTGCTTGCTGAATGAGATAAAAGTGATATAAGATGGAAGCAATCATGCATGAAAATACATGGAATTCCTGATGAATGGTTGTTTAATACTGAGCAATGAGCAATAATAATAATAATAATAATAATAATAATAATAATAATAATAATAATAATAATAATAATAATGTTGGAAGGGACCTTGGAGGTCATCAAGTCCAACCCCCTACTGAGGT